AAACTTGAACGTAAAAAACGACCCAAACCGATCGATCATATCGAAATAAAAAAAATACAACTGATTCCATGAAAAAAGAGGACTCACTTCCAAATCCAGCTTGGATGAGAAGTTCTAGCTCATCTTCTGTGGTCTCAGCACTTGTCCCTTCTCCGCTGACTTCTGATTCCAGCTCTAAAGTCTTCAAATTGAGCTGTTCGATAACCAACCTATTTTGAAATGATGATAGACATGCTCTTCGCAAAGCCCTCAGAACCTGGAGACGTAAAACCCACCCAGTACAGGAACTGAGATGGATCACAATCGTTCACACAATGACAACTACGTAACCGATGAAAGCTCAATTTGAGTAAGGTAAAATCTCTTCCACTATGTTTTCTTATCCGAAGGCTGCGCAGTCTTAAAGGCAGATTGGATTTCAAACAAGGGGAATTGAAGCTACTGTAACACACTGACGACAGACAGAGTAACGCGCATGGGAGTTGGACTTTCGCAGACAATTATTCGGTATTTTTCATTTTCCGAAATTTTCCGTATATTATCCAGAAAATGGTAAATACATATACCAGGAAAGAAATTATTGAAGGGGATTGACGGCACTGAAAAAAAAAAAAGTCGAGGCATACTATATTCGCTAGCGAATCGCTGGATTCGCAAAGTCTGACATCGGCCTTGAGCGATTCCCCTTAATTTCCATTCACTGCTGCACCCCTAAGCCAGTCTATCATATCATCTGCCTTTAACCGGCATCCATCCGGGTCAAAAAGTGTGATGGAAAAAACTACGTCAGCCATCCACCAAGGCGTATCCGCGATTCGGGATCAATGCTAAAACAAGGGCAGAAAAGAGCAAAAGACGAATAAAAGGTAGTGTCATGGATAATGGCGGATCACCGCTTTATTCCAATATGTACGACCACTTTCCTCATTAGGTTTACAAAAAGAATAGAGTGAAAAATCACCTAAATCAGCGCAACGAATAACGTAACGATCACGTGCACTGATGGTACACTTCCGAAACTGAAAAGAAAAAGCAATCAAGAATTTCAATCAAAAAAATAAGTAAATAGAAACTAATAACTTAGTTGGGTTGGGAGAGGGACAGTCGCCGTCAGGACGCACGACATCGTTCGCAAACTTTACTACAAAACGAGGAAGAGGAATGTAGTCAGTGGAGTAGGGCAATTCTCATAACATGCATGAGAAGCCGAAATGTGCGCGTTTACAGTATTTCGGTAGCAGTGCGCGAACATGCCGAGCGCCGCGGCGGCGACTACCGCTCTCGAACTAATTTAGAGTCCCTCTACGACTGAACGAGGGTTGTTTCAAGCTGACCATTTGTTTAAACTGCTTAAATACATGAAAAAGAGAAAACCACTTCTTTGTGCGGAGCAATACAGAAATAAAAGAAGCAATAAAACAAACGAAATATAAAAATAGAACTAGATGACCGTAACATTCGAACAGACACGTGCAAATCATGTGGTATCAAATCTACCTCGACTCCAAAAGCGAAGAAAGGGTGCCCACAAAAAGGCGTTGAGCGCCTAAGCGAGAGAATGGATGGGGCACCAGAAAGCACACGAATGAGCGAGACGCAGACACCAACTAATTCGTAGTGCTGGGCCGGCCAATGCACCGCCAAAAGCCTTTCACTTAAGGTTCAGGTACCCAGCAGGGGTACAGAATTTCTAGGTGAACAGCTTTCGACATCTTCGCCACCGC